GTTGTTTTGCCGCTTCGTGCCATCGCTCCAGGCAGGCGTGACCCCAGCGCTTCTCTGCGAGCCCCCGCGCTCCCTCAGGGCCTGCTGCGCTCCCTCAGGCCCTCCCATACTCCTTCAGGCCCTTCCGTTCCCGAAACGCCCCTCGCCGAAGGTTACGCGACAATTCGGCGTCGCCCTCCCGTCGCGGGAGACAAACCGCCACTCCCTGACCGTCCTTGGGGGTCTGCGGGTCCAGCAGCGGCCGCTCCGTCACCTCCAGCAGGCCCGTGGCAGCCCAGGCCTCCCGCGGTTACGCGTAATCCTGGGCTGTCCCTCTGCTTTTTCGGGTGCCGCGGGCTCCCCGAGGGGAAGGGGATCTAAGAAGGGTCAGGCTGTTGACAGCCGCCCGGTAAGGCCAGGCTCAACAGTGCTCTCTGTATTTACTGGGAACAGACTTTTCCTTGACCTTCTCTCTTGCCCCTGCTCCGATTTTCCCCCGCCCCTAAAAATGGAGCCTTTCTCTTGCTGGTTTATGGTGAATCTCAAGTGCTTTCTGGATGACAAAGTCCACTTGTCAGCAATATTCTTTTAAAAGACTCTGTTCTCTTCTCTCCAAGGCCTGCCCGACAATCGCTCTATTATCAGAGCTTTCTTATCCGATAGATTTTTTTTTTTTTTCTTTTCCCTCCGGGGTTAATAAGGAGAAAGGTTGCCAGCCGTCACAGAGAGGCAGAGGGTTTCTACTCAAGAGTTCAGCTAAGACTGGAACCCTCGCATGGCGAACTCCAGGGAAGGGCTATTATGCTGTACGTAGGATCCCATCATTTGATCACGATGAATGACTTTTTGAAGCCGAGACCATTCATCGGTTTTGTAATGCGTGTCGTTAGTTCAAAGACCCTGCTTTCAAGTCATTTTTGCTCCCAGGGCCCCCGCTGAAACATCTGACCGCTATCACTAGATAGTTCGCTAACTCTCGGCTCATAGTTGTGAAAGGAAATATTCTTGGCATTTTTAGATAGCTCACGAACGCCTTGGCTGAACCTATTCCCCCAGACCGTGCTGGCTCTTCCCCGCGAGAACGCCGCCGCATCCCTTCGGCGGGATGAGACGTGGCTCGGCAGCACTGCCTGGTCCTTCTGGACCTCGGCAGCAAGGAGGGCAGTCCATCATTTAGTTTCCTGAAGCTCTTTCGAAGTATCACCAACCAAGCATGTAAAGTGTCAGACAACAAAAGTTACCGCAGAGGCGGCGAGGGCTCATTAGCGTCCTGCCACGTTATCCAACGCAGAAACGCTCTGCCAGCTCCGGGTACCTTACCGGTCATCCCACGTAGCCCTCAGGCGAGACCGTGAATGCACCGCCGCATCTCCCAGGGCTGCCTGCTCCCCCCCCGCGCCCTCCCTGGAAAGCAGCCCCTCGTCAGAGAAAATCGAAGAACACGCCGGGCATCAGAGAGGGCGGGCAGCGCCGCAGAGCCTGCGCGGTTCTCCAGGAGGACGCGCGGCGTTGCAAGGAGCAGCGACGGCGGAGGGCTGGCTTCCTTCTGCACCAAACGAGCTGTTTGGGAAGAGGAGGAATAAACATCATTACTTCTGCAGACTAATAAAAGTTCCGAAATCCAGTTCTTCCACCAGACTGCTTCTCAATGTCCAACACCCTCAGACCCCTCCTGTCCGAGCCCCGTTTCTATCACGTTCCCCTTCAATTCTTGGGCTTGCTCACCCCCCTACGCCTTTGCAACTCGCCTCTTAGCAAAGTAAGAAAGAAACCCACCCAAACACCCCATTACTGTGTGCGGTGTTGTGTCTCTGTTGTTCTTCCAAGAAAAAAAAGCTCACAGGACCATTGCTTATAAAAGCACACAGGTTTATTGCATATCAATCTCATGTATAAATTCATTGTAGCATTGAAAGATTACATTTGGTATACATTCCTATTCTACAGCATTAACCTCAAAATCAGCTTTTTCTAGTCATTATTTTAAAGGAATTTCTCTACACAAGTACATTTGTCTTTTATCACAAGCATCAAAATGAAATTTGTAAAATCGCTTTTTTTAATTATTTTCTACACTTCATATCTTTTATTTCATTATGCTCCCAACAAAGCGATTTCATATTAATTAATAACTGCCAACACTTTTTTTTTTTCTTCCTTGGCAGTTCGAGGCTTCTAGCCTCGGACGCAAAATCTAATCACATATACAATAAGTGCATCTACGGAATTTTTTTCTTTTTAATAAAAATTTCACAAACAGACACAATAATGACTGCTAAACACAAGTCATGCACAGTTTACTTATAAACATAACAGAAGCAATATACAATCAAGAATGATATGGAACAAGCACCATCCTCTTTCTCAATGTTTTTTAAACATTATATGAAAACCAGACATTTACAATTGATTTAAAAAAACACTATACAGTTCTAAAGAAAAAAAAAACAAAACTAAATCATATCTGTATTGTAACAATGGGAAAAGGAATGACATAGGATGCACAGATTTATGATTCTTGCAAGCACAATATATATATGTTTTAAATTACATCTTCTGCAGGCTGGAAATGACATCAGGGCAAAACATCTCTTGCTTTGAAGAGAGCAATGAGAATGTAAAATACATTGAGAATTACTTTCAGAATTACTTTGTTCACATGTGAATTGCACATTTGGAAATCAAAGCTGCCTTTTTTTTCTTTTTCATTCTTTTTCCAAAGTGGTGACAAGAATTAATGACAGAAGAAAGAGAAAAAGAACCTTGGAATCATTCAATAACATTTTAATCACAGTATCACTCAACACTACAGAGAAGAAGTTTCATGGCTTTGGGAGAACACTACTGACCATCGTCTAGGAGCAGAGGGTTTTGCCCTTATGTTACCAGCGCTGAGCCAAGCGGACTGCATCGCTCCCTGCCCGTTTTCCGACGGGCAGAAACGGGCAGGTTCCTGCACCGTGACGCTTTCCCCCTTCCCCCGCCACACACACACACACACAAAATACAGCACGTAGAAATCGAATGTAAGTCAGTAGATTGAAGTCGGCTGAGGGGAGGGGGGCTCACAATCCAGTGCTTTGATGCTTAGAGTCAAACACGTTCATGTCATTGTGCAAGTGCTTTTCGAAATGCTTCGTATGAAGTGAAAAAGAAGCCGTTTTCGAGAACGTCTACGGAAAGTCTAAGTGCTGATTAGGGAGAAAGCGAAAGCTTCCACTAAGCTGCTTTAAGCAAGACAGAAACCAAGCTTCGTGTTTTTGTCCCGGAACGCGGTTGAGCAAACTCGCCTCGAGTGTTTTGCCGCTTAAAACCCCGTTTGGTTTGGCTTCGCTGCTGGCACTCGGCTGCTCCTGGGCATGCCCCCGGAGCAGCCAGCTGCCCGGCAGGAATGCCCGCACGTATCAAAGAGCAAAGCGGGCACCTCCGACCCGCGGGAGAATGCGGCGCAGCCGCGCGCTCGGCACCACGGCAGTCGTGCTGCACCGGCAGCTTTCTGCATCGGCCACGGGGATTCGCATCGGGACCGACCGCCAGCGCCCGAGCAGGCGAAAGAACGGGAAAACACGTCCGTCAGACCGACTTTCTCCTCCCTCACTAGCTCAGGCAGAAAGATCTATCTGTGGTCAAAGTCGCAGTCAGGAGAAGCAAGGTCCCTTCTCCGAGTACCTTCGCT